CCCCAAAACCCCAAAACCCCAAAACCCCAAAACCCCAAAACCCCAAAACCCCAGCAGCAAATATAATAATTGATTCGAAATGGAAAAGTATAGGGCAACCCCCAGCATTTGCGAGTTCTCACAGAGCTATAATACGTCTCCTCAACATTCTATAAACACAACTATCTCTCAGATGCAGTAGGGTTTATGTAATTCTTCTGTAGAAAATCTAAATTCTATAACATGTTTCTCCGTGAAAGGAACAGGTACCAGCTAAGAGATAGCTCGAAAGAAGCATCACAAAGGCTTCGCCAGATTAGTAATGGTATAATTCTAGGCTCAAAATATACAGAAAGAATCAAGCAATCTATCTCGATAAGAAGATCATGAGAGTTTATTCCTAAAGAGCTTGTAGTAGATCTCAAGCAGTCAGACCTCAAGCTACGAAATAGTAAATATTTACTATAATTAGTGTTTTCAAACATTTCTTGCCTAAACCACATTCTAGATAAGTTACCTGACTTCAAATAAGTTCAAGGGGAAGGAGGGGTTCAAGCTTGCTCTGAAGAAGTACACTTCTATTCCCACAAATCTTGCTAATTGAAGAGTAACCATCGATAGCCCAGCTAACTTTCCGAGTTATAATGACCTTAAAAAAGTATATTTCCACGAACAATAATAATTTAGGTTAAAATTAAGAAAAAGAAAGAATCAATCAATGGATATAATCTGAAGAAAAAGATTCATCAGAAGATCACTAAGAGTCTGAAGGAGAGGAACTCTGTCAGAAAGTCCCTCCGAACAGAAAGTAAAAAGCTGACCAAAATTATCGAGAGGGTAATCCTGGCCTTGATTTGGTTTATATATCTAGAAACCTGAACAAAGAAAAAATTTAGAACAAAAGATAAATGATCAGAGGCCTCCTTCAATGCTTAACTTTATACCCGGAATTGGGTCTCCTTCTGAGCCAAAGTTACCACCAACAAGAAGGGTAGACCTGACTGTCCAACTACCAATCCTGGTAAGGGGATTTCTTTATTGTAGCCTTCACCAGTTTCAGAATCACCAATAGGCACTCCGTTGCCAACCAAAATTTTGAAATTGGATCGGAAGAAGATGTCTCTCAAAAGAGACTTAATTAAGAAAAATATTCTTGAATTCATCAATAAGAAGAAGGACACCACTTTCAATAGTAAGATGGCTTTTAGTGATGTCTTATAGATCACAAAGCAGAGGCTTTGCTTGAAAACAAGAAATTTGCTAAAGAGGTTCATGTCAAGGAAAGACTGAAGTAACTTAGTGAATATCCTATAGAAGATCGCAGGATATCAGTGAAAGTCTTAAGAAGAAACAAAAATCCAAACAAAACTATAGGAGATTTAGCATTCTAGGAAAAGACTCAGAGAAGAGTAGAGAGGAGGCACCCTTTGTTCAGGCACATTCAAGTAACTTTCGATTACTGAAGATTACAGAGCCATTGCAGAAAATCAAAAAGCCTGCTCCTAAAAAGATATCTTCAAATCCAGCCCAAAACTCCCAAGAAAAGACTTCTAAACCAGCTTCAAACCCTTCACTAACCAAAAAGGTAAATCATCAACTGACTTTTTTATAGAAAGCGGTGAAAATTTCTTGAAAATCCAAAAGACCAAAAGAAGCCACTATCCCTCCAGACTCTTGAGGAGCATTGATAACCCCTAAGACCATAATTAAACTCCCAAAAATAGAGGTAAGCTTCTTCTGAATCTGTAGTACGATCAGATGGTTGATTCGGACATTGACAAATGGAGTGTTTCTGAATATTCACCCACTGGGTTTTACTGCTAAAAATTCAAGTAATCTTGGTGAGCGAGGGGTTTTGGGGTTTTGGGGTTTTGGGG